GACCAAGATATTTTTTGGAGGAAAAGCCTTTTGTATTTTGCTTCTGTAGAGGGCCAGCATAAATCTGTGTGGAAATGACCTGTGGGCAGAGCCAGGGATTTTTTACACAAAGCAATACTTGATCTGAAAAAGAACCCACATTGAGACTTGGTTGATGTCTCAGTGTTTTGCCACATAAAGTCCAAGCCAGAGGCACACATTTGGGAGCCATTGGTATAGAGGAGGTGCATGTTGATTATATGAAGGCACATGAGATTATTAAGAGAGAGATTTTTGAGGTAAAAGGATGGCCAAAATTAGATTGCTACAGAATAGATAGATTTAAGATGTGGAAGAAATGTGAGGGATTTTATTGTTTTTTAGTTACACAGCTTCTGAAACTCCTTCTTGTGCTTAGGTAATCTACTGTCTTGTGGGGCAGAGGCTGGGACCACTAGGTCACAGAGACAGTGGCCCTTGTTCTGTGAACAGTGTCCAGAAAGCCGAGTTGTTAGTGATGTCATTGTAAGGTCTGGTGTCCAAACCCAGGACCAGTAACAGACATCTCTTCATAGGAGTAGGTTTTCAGAAGATTTTAGGTGTTATTTCTGCTTCATAGCCTTCAAATGGTTCTTGAGTCCCTCCCCAAAATTATCTGAGTTGTCAGTATCCTTTTTTTCTAAATATATATTGAGATTTTATGTGTGTGTGTGTGTGTGTGTGTGTGTGTGTGTGTAGAGATGGAGAGAGAGCACGCCTGTTAAACTCTTAAGTATACAACTTGATTATTTTTTCGTAAAGTGAACATAACCATGTAACTACCACCAGATCAAGATATATAACTTGACCAGCACTCCAGAATCCTTCTTCATGCTCTTCCCTGGCATTACAAAGAGAACCATTATTCTGACCCCTAGTTCCATAAATGTGTTTTGACTGTTTTTGAACTTTATATAAATGGACCATTCCATGTGTGTGTGTTTAACTTCTTTTGCTCAACATTATGATTGTAAGATTTGTCTAGGTTGTCATGTGAAACAAGAGTTCATTTTTCAGCACTGTATAGTATTATACCATAGGTATAATGCTTGCAGTTGTCAAAAAGAATCCATTTTTCATCACATGTAACAATATGGTGTAAAAATGGTTTGCCTTTATATCATGACAGCAAAGAAAGGTAAGCTTCGTGACAATTTCTCGTCTGATGCTCATTTAATTCATGCAGGACTCATCTATCCAGCTTCTTTACCTTGCCGACTTGTTTCAAATGGTCCAATGTTGTTGGAATAGGAACGTCAAACCTTGCTGCTAATTCACGCGTAGGTTGCGATGGATTCGCTTCCACTACAGCTTTCAGCTCATCATTATCTACTTGGTCTCAGGTTGCCCATGTGGCTCAATTTCAAGATTAAAATCTCCAGAATTGAACTCAAACCATTGAGGTACTGTGTGTTCATTAGCCACATCCTTCCCAAACACTTCATTGATAGATATTTTGATAGATATTTTGAGCTGTCTGTGCAGGATTGGTTCCATGACAGAACTCATATTCAAAATATGAGTTTTGACTTGTCCAGGGTTTCACAAAAATTGCTCTAAAAAAAATTGAAAGACAACGTGCATTTGAAAGACTGAGGGCTGTACCTTCATAATAAAAGTAAAACAAGAAGTGTCAAAGTGAAATGTCAGAGCTATCAACTGTCAAACTTAGTACTTAAGGAATCGGACATTTTTATCTTGAAAATGAACCACATGGATAGATGGGGTCCACAAACATTCGGCACAATGGATAAAGATGAAGTGCCAAAAGACAGTCCAAAACCCAATATTCATCAAAAAAGCTAATGGTACCTGTTTGGTGGTACAGTGCTGGTATTATGCACTACAGCTTCATAAAACCTGGTCAGTCCATTACAGCAGATGTCCACTGCACCCAGCTGGACAAAATGATGACAATGCTTGTGACTAAGCAGCTGAAATTGGTCAATAGAGACTATATTACTACATGTAAACTTATAAGAGAGTTTTAATCAACCTGAAATAAATATATTCTTTATAGAAAAGACAGGGTTTTTTTTCAACATTATCATCAATTACTTTGACGCAGGCATTTATGACATACTCATCAAAATTGCAGATGACATAAAACTGGGAAAAGTGGAGAATATGTCAAAATCCCAAAAGCCCATGAACTTGACAGGATCAATGTAACATTTTAATATTTACTACAGTAACATGAAATTTTAACTGGGTACACAAAAAAAATTACAGAAATGCACATATAGACCTAGTGTAAATATTAAATGTAATACCTGTCTATGAATTTTTGGTTCATTGAATATTAAATTTTCATCCAGGGAATAATAATTCTGAAAAGGACCAACGTGGTTTTGGGGATCCAATGTACAGCATGGTGACTAAAGTTAATATTATTGCATTGTTTACCTGAAGTTTGATAAGAAAACAATTTTTAAATTTTCTTGCTGCATATGTACCCCACACACACACACACACAAAAGGTAACTGTGGGTAGTAATGGATATGCTATTAATTTGACTAGGGTAATCAGTACATAAAATGTATACAAATATAAAATTATCACATTGTATACCTTGAGCATATATAATTTTTATTTGTTAATTAAATATTTTTTAAAAGGTTGTTTTGATCTGGATGAAAATAAAGATGTCTCCCTGTTTTGGCAAGTGGTGGCGTTGGTGGGGATAGCAGTTCACACTGGGGTCCTGAGGGCTGGCTGCTGCAGAGTAGAATAAAGCAGGATGATCTGGAAGATGTTTTCTTTTATGATGAAAGACAGATTTCTGAATAAATTGTTTTCGCATACCTCCTGTGATAATAAGGCTTGTCTGTGCCTGTGTTGGGTAAGGGAATGGTCAGATAAAAGAGAGATTGATGGATGGTCATTCATTCATTCTCTCATATCTAAGAGTTTATTATGTGCTTACATGGCTAGGGACTAGGGACTAGGGACTAGGCACAGAGTAGAACGTGTTTGCTGCCATAGAGGGATTTTTGCTAATGTAAACCCATTACGACAGATAGAAACATGAAAGAAATAGTTAAATCATGCAGTTGATGGACAGGAAAACCTGAATCAGTACAACTACTAATGCAGCTGTTGATTGATATTGATGTAGGAAAAAATTAAATCAAAACTCATAAGTCCTGAAATATAATTTTGCTATTAGTCTACTATGTGAGTTAGTCTTTCTGGGTCTGTTATATGAAATTTAATTTTCATGCTTGTATTTCTAGAACATTCAGCCACTTTATTAAAATTTTAAGTCTGTCAGACAGTTGACAGCAATTTGCCCAAACATTTGATCTAATCGTGAACTGATCACCAAAATAGCTCTATGGGTTTGATTTTCTCTGTGTTATTAAGCATGGGTCAGGTAGGCTGTTTTAGGCATGAACAATAGGAGTTGAACAACCATTCACAATTCAGATGATTGTTCCAACTACCTTGAAATCATTGGGTTGTTTTTTATCATAATTTTACCTGGCACCCTAATATTAAAAACTTTAAAAAGATAGCATGTTTTAAAAGAATATATTGAAAAAACTAAGTAATAAGCAAGAAATTAGATAGTCCAGTTATACAACAGACTAGAGAGAGATGTACTAAATGTGTAGGTAGAAAATCTTTATTTTGAGTGCTTCAAAGAGGCATTATAAAACATGAAATAATTTTGTTGATTCATTCAATGAATATTTATTAAGTACCAAGTATGGTGAATAAGGCATAGAATTTACAATCTAGTGGAAATATGCACAAATAAATAAGGAATTGGTTAACAAATGGAAGTCCAATCACAGAGAAGAATGACCTAACCCAGACATGGGGATCAGGCAGGTGTCTTAGAGGAAAAAGTATTTAAAATGAGAAGATGTTAACTTCAGAGAGTGGTAGAAGACAAGGGAAAGGAGAAAGGAGAGAGTACAGCATGTGCAAAGGCTCAGAGGTGAGGGAATGCACAATTTACTTGAGATATTCGGTGTTTATAACTTATGTATGTAAAACTGATACTGTGTATATAAAACATTCTAAGGCTTAAACTACTATCTCAGCTCAATTAAACATAATACTCTAGAAGCCTTGGCCATATCTATCCAGGCTATATGGTTTACCTTTACAACTTGAAGTGGCCTAACTTATGTCAACTGCAAACAACCATTCCACCACTGTGGTATGGGGGATAGCTCAGAAGACAATGTAGATGGCTTAGTTTAAAAAAAACTACTATTCCTGGAATTCCTTTCGTGGGCTAAGTACAGTGCTATACTAGGTTCATCACATATATTATCTCATGTGATTCTAATATTTCTATCAGCAACCTAATATTGTCTTCATAATATGGTGAGAAGACTGAGGCTAACTGTATCAGCTGGTTCTTGCTATATAACGAGTTATCTAATAACCCTGCCCATTGGCGATGTAGCCTGAGCTTGGCTGGGCATTCTGATGTTGGCTGGGCTCTCTTAGGCATCTGTGGTCAGCTGAAGGTTGTTTGATTACTGACTGGGTTACCTCAGTTCTCCTCCACATGGTCTTTCATATTCCCTCAGACTTGCCTGGCCTTGTGCTCACAGGAGAGCTGGGAAGGCAAGGGGAGAGTAGGAGAGATTGCACAAATGTGAGGTCCTCTAAGGCCTGTGTTTGAAAGTAGAATGCTGTTATGTCTATATTCTACTGGCCACAGTAAATCACTAGTACAGCCAGATTCAAAATGTTGGGGATAGATTCCACATGATAGGGGAGCTGATACATCATGTTGGAGAGGGAGGTCATTAAATGGGGCCAGGGTGTGTTGAAAGAGCCTATTGAAAGTTACTAAGACAATACAATGAAATAATCATCAATGCAATTATTCCACCATAAGAAGAGAGATTACCTATTTGCCCAACTTTCCACTGTCATGAATGGTTGAGATAGAGTTTGATTCCGATGCCTTTTCTCTTTTCACTTGATTCACTGCCTCTCTTACATTTTTGACAAGGTTCTTCAAAGTGTGCCTTGATGAGCAAGCATATCCTGTGCAGATAGAAAGTGACCTAGAAATGGAAATTTACTGTGGGTGAGTGATAATGTAGCTTTCATTCATTTTATAACCAGAAACTATTTTGCTAGAAGAAAAAAAGTGAATGGGAAAGTTAATGATTTAAACTTACAAAATTGTTAACTAAAAACAGAAACCTCAGCTACCAGTGATATTTTTTCCTTTCCCCTTTAGATTTTTTTTTTTTTTCTTAAGCCATCTGATTGTGTGAAAGAGGCTGGGCCTGACTGACATATGTGCAAACCCTGTTTGGGCAGACACTGAACAGGGATTTTTACTTGGGTAAGCCCTGTGACTTAATTCCTCCAGCATGGCTATTTTTCTTACCTAGACTTACATGTCTTCATATTGTTACCATGCATGTGTTTGTACTTATAAAATATTTTATTTCACTTTTATTTTATTTGCCTTTAAGTGCCCTTATGTCAGTGTTTAAAATGAAATATTTTACCAAAACATTTGAGTTCTTGACTTTTACATATGTACATGTTTTGTTTAATAGTAAAAAGAGTATCTATTAAACACTGTGGTTCTAGTGAGGTACAGTAGACAGATGCATGGGATTGTCTTTTCACTTTTACTGTAACTGCTTATACATAAGAGTAAAGCTCCCTTTGTAAGCTCTATTTAAATGGAAACCGTATATTTAACACTATAGTACAGATCTTATGATAGCTAAGCTTAATATCCAAGCCCTGGAGATAGTCATTTTTTTAAATATCTACATGTATATTAAAAATTCATGGCCGGGCGCTGTGGCTCACGCCTGTAATCCTAGCTCTTGGGAGGCCAAGGCGGGCGGATTGCTCAAGGTCAGGAGTTCAAAACCAGCCTGAGCAAGAGCGAGACCCCGTCTCTACTATAAATAGAAAGAAATTAATTGGCCAACTGATATATATATATAAAATTAGCCGGGCATGGTGGCGCATGCCTGTAGTCCCAGCTACCCGGGAGGCTGAGGCAGAAGGATCACTCGAGCCCAGGAGTTTGAGGTTGCTGTGAGCTAGGCTGACGCTACGGCATTCACTCTAGCCTGGGCAACAAAGCGAGACTCTGTCTCAAAAAAAAAAAAAATTCATACTTTGCACAATTTGAGAAAGAATGTAGCAGATTCATTGTTCTATATGGGTTAGACATCACCAAATTTATTACCTATCTGAATAATAATTGTCAGCCTTCCTCCCCAATATTTGCCTGATTTCTTTGCCAGCTTTTCCCCCCCTTCTTGACTTTGTATTCATAATGAGAAACGTTAGCAATAATAGCTTTAATAATGGCAACACTGCCTTGAATTTTTATGGCACATTTTCTCTGAGAGGTTTAAAGTGATTCAGATGAATTTCCTTGTTTTCACTGGCAACTTTCCAGTGAGTTAGAGTGTTGGGATGAATGCTACTTCAGCCTCACAAGTATCTTTGTCATCCCCTTCATGTGACTGTTTGTTTCTATCTTACATGAATCTGCTCTATCTCTCACTCCATTCCCAGTCACAGGAGCCTATTATCACCCCAAAGTACGCGTGTGTGTGTATTGCTTTCAGCCCCCTTCTCCTCCTACTTGGGGCATATGTTGGGGCTTAGCATGGCTCTAGACTAAAGAATATAAAATGGAAATGCAAGAGCTTGCCAGAAGCAACACTTAACTCAAGTGCCAATTCTGTTTATCAGAAATGTGACTATTCTAACCTTAGCTCATGGCAAATGGTAATTTTCACATCTAGGCAAGAAGAGGTAAAAATAGGATTGACTAAAATCCAACTCATAAAATATTCAAGTTTGGATGAGTCGGATAAAGACACTGAAGCAGGCTGTAAAGGCCAGGAGTATAGGATTACACTTCCGTACTAAGTGCATTTTATTAAATAACAGCTCTTAAATGATTTCCTTGTTAATAGCTAGTCAGTGGTGTCAATGCTGCCTATGTAATTATGCATTTTGGGATTATATTGGCATAATACAAGCTGAAAGAAAGAAGAGGAGCTCATGGACATGGACATTATTTTTCTGCCTTGTGATTCTTATTCTAATAATAGTTTTTAGTTTTTAACATTTAAAAGCCTGAAAAAGTAAAATAAAATATCAAGTCAAGCATACTTCTACATCTCAGAAATCTTAAAAGTTATGCTGGAAAAGTGGTGCTCAAAGGAAAATATAAAATAATAAAAAGGGTCACATTTTAGTCAAATATATGAAAAATTTGTAATACGAATAAGAATTGGCATTAAAGAAATGTACTGTTACTGAAAAATATATTATAAAATCTATATTTGATTCACCTATAAAATGTTCAGTAATTTTAAATGCTATTCTAAAGTAAAAGATGAATGTCATTTTTCTTATGATGCTTTAGCAGTGACTCATTCTTCATTTTTATAATAAGGTTTTGTTTTAAATATTATATGTTTTATAGTTATAGATGAAATTGTAAAATGCTGAACGTTTAGGTTACTTTATAGATTTTCACAAGCAAAAATATATTTTTAAAAGTCCTAATTATATCAGAGATAATATATTAATGATATTATGTTATATATGTATTTTTTTCTAGGAAATAAATCCCTGAGATCTATAAAAACCCTTTTGGCATATATACTCTCAAATTATAAAATTCATTGATTGAAATATTCTAACTTTTTAATATACACAAACCATTGGATCCTTATGATGAACCACTTTGTTTTGACTGGTGGTGTTAATTCCTTTGTTATTTCTCCTTGAAAATGCCTAAATTCAACCTCTGTGATGGTCAGTTTATTGTATCCACTTGGCTAGGCTATGGTCCCCAGTCAATCAGTCAAATACTGATTTAGGTGTTGCTATGAAGGTATTTTGTAGATGTGATTAACACTAATAATCAATTAACCTTAAGGAAGATCATTCTGGATCATCTTTGTAGGCAGGTTCAGTCAGTGGAAAAGTTACAAGAGTAGAACTAAAGTTTTTCAGAAAAAGATGAAATTTAGCCTGTGTATGGCAGCTTCAGGTCATACCTTAGAGTTTCCAGCTTGTCTTTCCTGACAGCCTGCCCTACAGATTTCAGACTTTGCCTACTCAGCCCCTGAATTCCTGTAAGCCAGTTCCTTGCAATAAATCCTTTAATGTATATCTCCTACTTGTTTTGTTCCTCTGGTTGAACCATGTTTGATCTCCAACTACTGCCTTTCTTCCAACAGTTTCACCTGAACTATCTTTGAGAAATCACTATAAAGAATTACTGAGTTGTTAATAAAAGAATTGTGACAGCAAGCTCTCATTTTAATGCAAAGTATCCATCAATTGTCCTTGCTTCACATAAATATTTACTTCATGTGGCATCACAATTTGTAGCTTTTTTTGCTACATTATTCTGTTTACTGACCAAGATGGCCTTAACTTTCCCTTCACTTGCCTAAACTGTAACCATGGTTCTTTCTGACTATAGGCCCCTGACTTCCCTTTTCTTAGAGCACTTACTTTAGAAAACTTAAAGTTGTAAATTCCTTCTCTATTCCTTTGACATGTAGATCTTCTTCCAGCCTCTAGCCAGTTTTAGAACCCATGACTGTCTTTCTCAAGGAACCATCCCTTTGAAATGTAGTCATCAGGGAAGACAGAGTTCCTATCCCCCAACTCTGTGGTAAGCACCAATTAGCAAACACTAATGGCCTAATCACACTGATGATCTGCCCCTAGTTTCCTTCAGTACTTTTCCTCTAGCTCAGCTCAGTGCTTAAATACTCCCCTGCTTTTTGTTTCAGTGGAATTGAGTTTAACTCTGTCCAGTACAATTTTTCTTTGATGCTACAAAAGATAATAAGATTAGAGTGTGCATTTTTCAATTATTCAATAATTTGGGAAATACAAATTCATTTAAATAAGAGTTTGTATTATGATCGTATTGAGTTTAGCATAACTATTTGTATTTTGACAGTATTATTTTATTTCTCAAAATATATTTTAGGAATTGTAGGCAATGCTTTGCATATATAAAAACTACAAATTATTATAAGATACCTATTCTAAATTAATGAGAACTAAAAGCCCAGTTTATGTAATGGTGTCACTACTATGATAATTCAGGTAGATGTTGACTAAGTAATTGTCCCCATGATTTCTCTCTAGGAATTTGAGCCCCCTCCTCTTTCTCTTTTTTTTTGTGTCTTTCTTCTCAAATTCTATCCCGAAGACTAAGAGCAGAAGAAAATAGTCGCCACTAGTTTTTTGGTGCTTACATACAGAGTTTTTGTTGCCATTTCAAGCAGAAAACATTTGATTGCAATGTCTTAACCTGATTCTAGTTATTTTAGCTACTGAAAACAGAACTTAGACTAGAAATTGTGAAAAGCCGTAGATAGAGGTTCTATCTGGATTTCCTGTGTTGAGAAAGTCTTAAATATTCCCCCATCTCCCTCCAGCCTCTGAGTATAATCATTTCCCTGAAATCACAGTCTTTCTAGCTTGTGACCATTATGTATTATTGACTTAATTAAACCAGGGCAAAACAGAATACTCTATTTTACTTTCTTGAAATCACAGTTAAATAAGATTGCAATACTTTATGCAAAAAAAAAAAAAGTTTCAAAAGATATTTACCTCCAAAAGAAAATGGTGACTGGGCAATATAACCAAAGTTCCAGGGCATGTGTTGTAACAAAGAGAAAGGTGTTTTACTCAGAAAGCTTGGACCCTGTGACCATGCATACAATAGGGAAATGTGTAGAGCACTCCAGACCCAAACCTGTGTTAGAGCAAAGCATGCAAAACATTAAAGGAAAACAACAACAACAACTCTTTTTAATGTCTGTTCATTTTAAATTTTAAGAGTATAGTCTTCTTGAAGGAAGGGACCATATGTCAGTTATTATATTATGAATATTATGTATGCTGACACTTAACAAATAATTAATATTGAAAATCATCTATGTTTAAGATTCTGTGTATACATAGGTTCTATTTTGTGCTCCATGTAAAAAATTTTCTTGCCAATTTCTTTTTGGAGTAAATATCTTTTGAAACTTTTTTTTTTACAAGAAGTATTGTAATCTTATTTAACTGTGATTCCAAGAAAGTAAAATAGAGTTCTCTGTTTATATTTTCCAAACAAGAGTTATTGTAAATATTATTAGTATTCTCCCATATCTAACAATAAAGACTCAAAGCAAAAACATAAAACAAAATAAAACAAACAAACAAACAAAAACTGTTCAATAGCATGCTGGCATTCATTTATAATAAAGAGACTTTCAGGTGTTCAAACTGAATTTGTCCTGAAAGCAGAAATTCTACTTTTGTTCTGAGTTAAAATGGATTACAGTTTATTATAAGAATCCGTGCTCTTCATTAAGAGTTTGATCTGTAGTTATGTGAAGAAGAAGTAGCATATCACTCTCAAAATATCTAATAGGAGGCTTATAGGAGAGAATGTAAGAGGAAGTAGACCATGTTTTTAAGTATGAACCAGAAGTAGGAAAATGTCTGATTATCCATCTAAGTACTTAACATGAAAACACAAGGGAGATAGAATATATAATAAAAGTATCAAAAAGAGAGATCCTAAATTTAGCTTAAGAAGCAAACATCTATCAAATGAAGATAATATTGTGAATAATCCAATTCTGAAGAAACTATTTTTGAAGAAAATCTGTAGAATAAAATTCTATTTATTTGCTTTTCCTAATTTGTTTTTCTTTATTCCATTATATCACAGCCTTATCGACAATATTTTGGTTTAAGACTATCGTGTTGTCTAAAAGTCAATGGCAATAAAAGAAATTTCAAAGGTAAGAAAACATTCAGTTTATTGCCTAATAAGAATAGTTGACAATTAGTTTATTTCTTCATTAATTTATTTAACAATGTTTGTGGATGTATTTATTTATTTATTGCATTTGTCCTTGTACACCAAACCTTGGGCTCGGCATTCAGAAGTGATAAAGAGAAATGTGGCTCCAACCTCATTTAGTAGAAAGTTGGTGGAAAAGATAGAATTTAAATAAATAATGACACACATAACTATTAAATATATAATGATCATTTAATTAAGTCCCATGAAGGAAAAGAAGAGGGTGTGTATTTATAGAGCTTATTATTTTCTTTTTCTTAAAAATGTTCCGATACAGTGATTCCACCAACCTTTATTGACCAGCTCCTACCAATCAGGTAGCAAAATGGGTGTCTAGGCTGTGCATGTACAGAGGTGAGAGTCTCTGGAAACACCCCCTTTGACTCGAGAGGGACATTGGTTAGGGGGACCAAGATTCTGCTGCAGAGGCAGCCTGGGTGGCCTTGTTCAGGGTCACCAGTCAGCTGAGACCTCCTAACTCCTCCTAAGTACTCCTGTATTAGAGTGCCTAAAGCCTAGATTGTTGTGGGATATTATAAAAGCAAACAAAAATTGATAATCTTATATCAAAGTTAAAGGTTAAGATGGACTTAAACTAAAAATTAAAACTAAAAAGAAAATTGAAAACTAGCTGATGCTTAGAAAAAGAAAAACTAAAGGACCCAGTGAAAGTATAGAAGAAAAGAAAGTAAACTAGATGACATAAAAAATAATATACAGGCTGGGTGTGGTGGCTTACCCCTGTAATCCCAGCACTTTGGGAGGCTGAGGTAGGAGGATGGGAGGATTGCTAGAGGCTAGGAGTTTGAGACCATCTGAGCAACATAGTGAGACCCCCATCTCTACAAGAAATAAAAATAAAAAATACATCCTAAAATTGGTAGAAAACTGCAGGATAAAATTAGAAAATTGGGGAAATGTACTTTTAAAATATTTTAATAAAACATGGGTAATATTAATATATGTGATGGTATTTTTTAAAATTTTGTATTTTATTTTCATGTCAAAAGCACTTTCCCAGATCATTATTTGTGGTTTCAAAGCTCGCTTTTTTTTTTTTTTTTTTAGTGACTACATAATCTTCCACCATGTAGATGTTCCATATTTATACCATTTCCCAACTTTTGGATAGTTAGGTGTTATCTTTCATCATTATGAATAAGGTAGAGTTAAGATCCTTTTACAAAATTTTTGAATAAATTACCTCCTTAGGATAGAGTGTTAGATATGGAATTACTTTACAAAAGGTAAAACATGTTTGAGGTTCTTGATACATATTGCTTAGTTGCCTTCCCAAAAGGTTAGCCCAATTTATGTCCCTACTTACTATGTACGAAGGTTCTGAACATAGTACAAGGCTAAAGTTGACAAAGAGAGACCTCAATTTTTTAATTTTTAGTTTTGGCTTATGTAGCAAAGAAAATTACACTCACACTGAGAAAAGCAACATAGACATCATGAACATGGAACCAAAGCCCAGCTAGAAAAGAATATAAACAACCAGCTGTTCAAAATGAATTTAGGGGCTATAAACCCCCTTGCAATATACCCCAAATTGCAAGAATGTATAACTGTGACTTCCGACATTTATCTATATATGTTCCTAACAGAATCACCATGTTGTACATATATTTTTCAGTAAAATCTTCATGTTATTAGATTGTCTTCTTTACCCTCCTATATTGTAGAGCACTCTGTGATGGTATTTTAATGTTAAAAAGCCTCAGATAATATAAAATTTCAAAGCATATACCACTAAGTAATGATACGATCCATATTAAAAGCTAACAGAAGAATGGAGGAAATAAGAACAGGCAACACAGATGTGATAAATAGAGGTAAAAGTGTCCATGGTGGAGAGAGGATTTTAGGGAGGACTGAGCCAGAAGTGTGGCCACTGATAAGGATGTAGGAAGTGACTCAATCCCAGAACCTGTGTTTGTTTGCTTTTTGTTTGTTTTCCTGGGCAGCAATATAGGGACGATGAACAGCCCTACGTCTCTTTGCCTTCCTTTTAGAACACTCATGGAGGATCCGGCCTCCTGTGGTCTACCTGGGGAAAAGGGCTGTGATGCTACAATCATTTCAAACTGAGCTGATAGGGTCCTGCAGTAGCTGGAAGACATAGCCAAATTATTTCCATTTGTATGTAAATGTAATACATCCAAAATGAGAACTAAACCCAAAATGTCTAGCATTTTACCTAATGTTATAGATTGTATGCCGTATAATAAAAGGAGATTTATAAACAGTGCAGAAAATAAAAGAGCAAATTTGCACTATAGGAAGAATCTCTAAAGTATTTAGGCAGTTGTCTTCCTGTAATTCCTAAATTTGATGAACACTATCATCAGCAAGTTTACGTACAATCTCCTGAGGATGCTATTGCTCTGCATTTATTAGTTCCTTCAAAAACATCCTCAAAAGTTTATCCAAAGTTGCATAATTTCAAAATGTTATAAAGCAAATCTCTGACATGCCGACAGCAGTGTCGATACTAATGTTTTTGTTGGTTTTTGCCAGAAAGCTTAGTTAATGTCTGCCTAAGATTTGCAGGAAAATGCAGTTTTTCGCAGCCTTATTAGGCTCCCACAAGGTTTTTCTTTCTAGAGTGGCAAGAGAAGTCTATTACCATTGGGAATGCATGGGTTATAGATGTTATAGGGTGGGTTTCCTGCAGCAGACTCAGATTTGAGGAACTGTGTGCAGGAGATTTACCGGCAGGGGCCCTGGGCATAGTGGCTGCTTGGGAGGGAGGAAAGCAGGATTTCCATGCAGCTGCAACAGAGGCCTCAGCTGTCTCTGCAGAGAGCTCTGACCTGGGAGGCCCTCAGAGCTCCTCATAGGGAGAAGTTTCTGTCCAGCCTCAAACAGGCAGCCCTGACTGGCATGTGGAAGCATTGCTGTAAGCTTTATCACTTTCAGTCACAGAAGATACACAAAGGTATAGCTTTCTCAATAATTGTTTAAACAATTTTTAAAAGGTCCAATGTTTTTTTCTCTCCTTGAAAAGACAAATTTTCTGGCCAATATAGTGCTAAGTGCTAGAAATCTGTGTTATGTCATTTTGAGTTCCATTTTGATCTAATTCAATTCCGGTAAAACAAATTTTCACCTGAAAAGCATTGATTTTTCTATGTAGTGATCTCTTTTTAAAAATGTACTTGAAACTGGGTTGATATATCAACAGGAAGATTCTATTTCTTCTATCTTCCTTGGCATCATTGTCTGTACACAGTAAGAGAATAGCGAGGCTATCTTTGGATTATCTGTGCTTTTCAGTCTAATCTTGTTTGAGACACTTTTTATGAGAAAAAAGATGAGAGGAAAAGTGTGAAAATGTAAATTTCTTGAGATACTTCAAAGCTTTTATAGGTCTTTTTGCTTTAAATGTATACTTCAGTAAATATTTTTCTTGTTTTTATGTTTTAAGTCTATATAATGTAAGCAATGCAAGTATAAAATAACTAACTTGACTTTATGCCAATTCTAGAGTTCATATTAAAAAGTAGTTTTGAATTCAAAATGTTTAAATGATGCTTCATGGTTTAGAGGCAATTTTTTCCTTACAGAATTTTCAGTTTACTGATTTACATGTTGAGTAATGATTAAGTGTCAGGAATGATGCTAGGGCTGGGGACAAAGGCCCTCTATCTTCAAAGATCCCATAGCGTAGTTGGGACGATGAACAATACAGAGCTATCCATGATATGATATGGTAAGTATTTGAGTGCATTTATTTTCCGTTTTTTCCCCACATTATGAGTGATATGAGAATGTGAAAAGTAAATAAATGCAGCTTAGGGAAAAAAACTGGATATTTTTGTCTGGTTCTGGTTATAATTTTCCTGACAATTAGTAAAGTAATCTTGCTACATTTATGTCCATTCATGGATGGAGTAGGGATAACAGTAATCAAGTTAGAGTGTGTGTGGAGATGTACATATATATACATGTATATATCACATTTTAGACTATAAACTTTTGTATGGGTAAGTTGATATTAATGTCATAGGTGAAATCTTTGGAAAAGCTAGTAGCAATTAAAGAATTTACAGACCACTAAAAACAGACATAATGCAAGTGGGATATATGTTTATACAAATCAGTTATAAAAATGGTGTTGTACAACAATTTCTGAACAGTGATTTATAATTAATTGCAGTTTAAAGTACTCAAGAAAATCTTGAAATCCATCAACAATTCTCAGACCTGATGAGTGCTTCTGAAATCTCCAGTAGTTTTGCTCAAATAAAAAAGAAAATTAAAGATGAAAGAGTGTATATTTCTAAGTGCTAGGGTTAGCTCAGAATGTAACCATGGCCTAGTCCATTCTAGGTCACACAAATTTGCACTATTGTTCTCTGTATGATAAAGAAGTCTGAGGTATTTGCCTAATCTTTCAGTGTTGATGGAACGGATGGCATCAGCTTGATGTTCCCTTCAGGGCTAGCATTGTATAAGATCATCTATTTCCTTCCTCCTTGGTTTAGCAAAAAACTCTTTCTCTAAGATGCAGATCCAGCGGCATCCTGTGATTCTACCCTTTTCTTGGCTTCTCATTTTGGCTTGCTCCTCTCAGTTGAGGCTGCGTGGAACTGATTTTGCAACCTTGTAAAAGGTGTCTTGGGTTTTTGGCCCCACATGAAAGGCTCCTGAAGTTCAGTCCTCAAGTGCCACTTTTAAAGTTTCATCAGAGTACAAAAATGGCAGAATGCCTGATTAACAAAAAATATACATCTTTACTAATGTGATATTTTATATCAAGCTAGAGAAACAAGTTTAGAGAATCCCACTTTAGGTAGGAAAGAGAAGAAAGGGAAACTTTATAGTTGGAGTTGATAACCAATCTGAAAACTATCAAGGAGAAAAAATGAGCTAGCCTTTTCAGAGAAACCTATTGAAACTTCTTAGGCATAGAACTTGGTGCAGATGAGA